GACATCCTAAATACCGCCTCCGCCTAAACGGCTACCTAGGGCATTTTTTAAAACACTACTAACAGCTAACGGGTAAACTTACAACCAATGGGTAAACTTAGTAATCAATGGTTAAACTTAACACTTAATATTCAGAATTAACATTCATTGTATAAACTTAACAGTTATGCTATAAACTTAACATCCAACGAGTAAAGTTAACATCGACTATGTAAGATTCATTGCTAATCCTTCATAGTTCATAATCAATCTATACAATTATATGTTTGTCTAGTTTTGATATTTGCATACAAACAACTTGATCATTGCACTTTACATGCTTTTATACCCTCATTGTTGTAGGTGTAAAATTTGATTTCCCAATATGGGGATTTTTTTTGTATTGATAAGAATAGCTTATTATAAACTAATGAATCAAAGGTTTACAAACAGAGGAGAAGGGAATGACCCTTTTTGTTTAACGTGGGTTCGTTGGCAGTGATAGGATACCTCCCTCGGTGCTCGCGCCGAGTTTTCTTTCCTTGGATGATCTGATCGACGTTGTGGTTGGAGCTTTAGTACGTAGTAGATGCTCGGTTGGATGAGTTCGACGGCTGAGCAATTGCTTGATTGCTCGAAGCCTAAGTATGCTGAGATCTCAAAGTTCGGTCCTCTTTAGCTGAGGATTCAAACGAGATCACGAACAAGCAGATTGCCAAGGAGTTTGCCAAGAGCCAGGCTCGGTACTCTTAGAGCTTAAGAGAACTGATTGCCAAGGAGCCAAATAGGTCCGGTCTTGATCAAGAATTCAATACCTCTCTTTTGATAGCCATCATTGGCTATTTATAGTGGAGGAGAAGCATGACCACTCCCTCAAATTGTGGGATTGTGGTTGAGGGGGACTATAACTTCATCCCTTAAATCTTAGGATATGGCCATTAGAGGTGAGGAGAACCATTCTCCATCCCTTAGACCATAGGGAAGGAGTGTACCCACTCCCGCATTTTAAGCTCAAGTGGCTGACTTGGTCCAGCTGTACATGCGAGCTTGACATTGCAGGCGAGCTTGGGCTGTCAGGTGAGCTGGCAAGTTTTCAGGCGAGCAGGCGAGTCTGCAGGCACGTTTGGGTCTGTAGGAGAGCTGGAGCATGCAGGTGAGTTGTCAACATTGGAGGTGAGATGGCGACCCTACAGACGGTCTGGTGACCCATTCAGGTGAGCTCAAGCCTGCAGGCGAGCTCAAGTCTACAGGCGGGCAAGCTTCAAGGCGAGTTCAAGCATTAGGAGAGCCCAAGGGGATCATCAGGCGAGCTCCTAGTTGTCGGGCGAGCTTGCCTTGTGCAGGCGAGCTTCAAACACGCAGGCGAGCTTCAAACACGCAGGCAAGCTTCCAATTGTCGGGTGAGCTTGCCTTGTGCAGGCGAGCTTCAAGCGTGCAGGCGAGCTTGGTTCATGCAAGCGAGCTTCCAATTGTCGGGTGAGCTTGCCTTGTGCAGGTGAGCTTCAAATATGCAGGCGAGCTTGGCAGGCAAGGCTGTGCAGGAGAGCCAACCTTATTTAGGTGAGCTTAAAGATTGAAGCCTTCAGGCGAGCTAAACTCATTTATAGGCATAAACTCTTTTATAGGCGGGGTTGCTCTTCAGGCGAGCCCCAGAACATGCTATGAAAAACAAGTCATAACTTTCAAACCGTAAGTCAGAATTGAACGAATTATATATAAAAATTGACTATCTCGATGAGATGGAGCCGACCAAACCCACCCTAAAGGGTTCAGTTTGCTCCTGTCCATTCTGCCAAATTCCTTCCGGTTTGAGAGATATTAGCGTTTCCTCTTTTTTGCTATTTCGGGCGAGGTTTTAGCAGTCTTGTTCTGAACTTCTCTGATAGGGATTAAATATAATTTTTATTACCTACAATTGTCCATTCTATTTAATAAATATACTGTCTAGTATCGTATGTTTTCATAGAAAATAAAGAATTTAACAAATAACAGCTCAAGTAAAATTATATCAAGTCCAAAAGAACTCTGATTGAAGCCTAGAAGAAACCCATAGAAGCCCAATATAAAAGAGCACCCAAGAATTTTAACAAAAATTAAAACCAAAGAAGTATCAATACTCGTATTGATACATGTATTGATAGTGGTCTCGATACTAGTATTGATGCCAATATCGCTACCTGTATCGATAGTGACGTCGGCACTAGTATATATACTGTATCGATACCCAATTAACAATTATAAATCAAATATTATAATTGTGTAACTTGGGGCTATGTTTGATCTAACGACTAATATTGATTTGTATAGTCTATAAATAGGGTTAGATTGTGAGGGTTTGAGAGAGAGGTAAAAATTTTATAAACTTTATTTGAAGAGGAGGGTTACTCTTAATTGACAAGACCTTTTAAATTATAAGATTTTTATTTGCAATCAATATAATTTCCATTTTCCCCTTCTTTTCCTTTAGTGATAATATTTACTTCTCAAGAGGCCAACCTCTTACAATGTGAGTCTTCATTTCCTCTTTTTTATTTTTTTGCTTAGTTTTTACATGTTTTAGGTTTTTAATTTTAGTTTTCAATTTCATATTTTGTAGATTAGATTTATTACTTTGTAGTGTATATTTATTTCATGCTTTATAATGTAGATTTATTTCCTTGCTCTTTTAATTGTTTTGTAGTGTAGATTTATTTTGTCGCTCTTTTAATTGCGTCATAGTGTAGATTTTCTTTCTTTATTTACTTTATAGTTTAGATTTATTTTCTTGTCTTTAATGCTTTCTAGTATAAAAAAATTCTTTGTTTTTATTTCATAATATGAATAGTTTAATTCTTGTAGGAAATCTAGGATTAGATGAAACTACTTTTATTTTTTTGTGTGTTGGATATCTTGACCCCAAGATATGTTTATTTTGATGATAACAAATATTATATGTTGTGTGTATTTTGTGCTAACATATGTTTTGTAGTATCAGAGCAAAATCAACAATGATATTCAAAGAGATACTCAAGTTCAAGACAACAAGACAAGCAAAGAAGAAGATGTGCTTAATCGTAAATTTGTAATTTTACATTTCCTTTACTTAGAATTTTGTACAAGCCTTGATCACTCATAACATATATACGCACATAGTATTTAGAATACACTAACACATGCTTAGTGTGTGGTTAACTATAGAAATCCCCTAAGTTAACCATTAGAGTTTATAGATATAGAGTGAGTCTCAAAACATATCATATATCTCATATATATGTATCAATAGTCGACCAATACTCTTAGTAGTATACTACTATCCTTAGTAGTAGACTATTAAGCCAGTTTGTTACTCTTAGTAGTAGACTACTCTCCTTAGTAGTAGACTACTAAGCCAGTTTGTCAAATATTCAGAAACTACATATGTACAGTGCAGTCGACTACTAAACAGTTATATGACTTCACAGAGTCTGTTTTGACTCAGTGTAGTCGACTACTAAGTCTTATAGTCGACTACAGATACAGTTTTCCAGCTTTTAGAATTTGAATATATGACTGTTTATAGTCATTTTAAGGTGTTAATTGAGCTTTAAATTCAAGTTTTTCAAAGGCTATAAATAGGTATTAAGTTCAGAATTTGCCAATCATACATTCATATCTGTAAGATTCAAAATTTGTGCAAATTCAAGTGTTCATCATTCAAATTTTCATTCTAAGTGTTGAGAAAAGAAAAGTTCTGAAAGTGTCTTTGATTCCATCATTCTAAACGATTAATAAGGCATTATTCAGAGAGTGAAAAAGTTCCTAAGTCACTGCTGCACACCACCTACACTTCAAGGCTTATAGGAGTTTGTGTTCTTTCTTCAAAGAAGCTTTCTCTCGGGTGTGAGAGAAGATCTCTTAGTTAAGAGATTGTTTGCAATTTACAAGGACTTACAAATTGGTCAGGTTTGGTTTTGACTTTGTAATTGGTTCAAAATCATAGTGGAAATCTTAAGTGGGATTTGCTTGGGGACTGGATGTACACCGGGGTAGTGGAACCAGTATATATCCTTATGTTTGTGATTGTTAAATTTTTGTGATTGTAGTTCATTGTTATTGCAATTTATAACTCATCTTGCAAACTTATTAATTAATAACACTAATCATCGTCCTCTAAGTGTGTGCTTCCGCAGATCCTACATTGTGTATTTTGAATGCACTTAAAATGATCATGTTAGGATAATCAACTAGAGGACTAATTAGTAGAAAATGAGTTTGATAGTCTATGCCTTACTTAAGTGGTTTGATTGGTTATGTTTATTTAATTTTAGGACAACTATGTAGTTGTTTATTTCTTTCATGAGTGATAATATTACTTAGAAATGATTTTGATAGGTTATGCTTGTTTTAATTAACTTGATAGTCTATGCTTAGGAAATATAAGAAATATGTGAATAAATTATAATTTTAAAATTAATTAGTAGATTCAATCCTAGATTCTTATCCTCTCTTCATTTCCTACATCTTTTCATTCTCTTGATTTGATTTGGTTTTTATTTGGTCTTATTTTGTTCTTCTCTTTCTCTCATTCTTCCCTCTTATTTTAGTTTTTTATTTTAGTGAGAAACCTCTACCCAGAATGCATACCACTTTTATTTACTTCTCATAAGTTTCCTACACAATTTAAGAACCCAAATATGATAGTCTTTCTAATACTATCATTCTCCGTGAATCGATATATACAAATATTACAACTTGATTGGTGTGCGCTTGCAATTTAGCATATTTTTATCCCATCACAACTACACAGCAAGCTCTGTATGACATGTTCTTTGTACATGGTCTATTATTGCTATAGTCTAAGAAACATTATCTTTATTTGGCATTTCCTCAAACACTTTATAAGCATTCTCCAAACAACCACATATCATATACTCATCTAAGTTCCCACACTAAGAAATTAAATTTCACTCATCTATTTCAATTAAAAATAAGCTAGGTAAGATCTAACTGTCACTAAGAAGTAAAATCACAAATAATCCAATCATGGTGTTTGTTTGAGAGAAATGGTAGAGGGGAGAGGAGAGGAGGTTGTAGGCTGTCTTGAGGAGGTGGGTTTGCTCGGTGCAGAGATTGGCGATGATGTTGGTGACAACAAGGAGAGAGGGAAGAAGCTTGACAAAGGAGATGACAGAAGCAGAGGCGGGAGAGGGAGATGGCAGGGTTGGAGGGTGCACGCAAGGTCGGTAGTGACAGAAGGGGGGTAGGGGAGGGAGATGGTGGAGTCAAAAGGTGCGTTAGAGGTCAGGTGTGGTGAAGAGGGAGGCGGGAGAGAGAGAGACAATGGGGTAGAAGGGTACGCTCGAGGTCAGAGGTGGCACAGGAGGCATAAGAGGGAGACTACAGGGTCAGAGGGTGCGCTCGAGGTCGGTGGTAACTGAGGGTGAGGCGGGATAGGGAACGGGTCGGAGGGTGAAGAGGAGTGAAAAGGGAAAGAGTATGTTAAGGTTAAGATTAGGGTTAGGGGAGGGGGAAGAGAGAGGAGGGACAACCATGCATGTTAAGGTTAGAGTTCGGAGAGAAGAGAGAGGAGGAGAAAAGGGAATAAGCAGCAGTATTAGTAAAAGGCGTCAGCGACGGAGGAAGGGGAGGAGGCTTTAGGAAGAGTGTTTTTTAGGCTCTGTGTTGAATCACAAAAGCTCATTATATTTGGGGCTAACAAACAATATAAATATTACGCGATATTGGGCCACATGAAGAATTGATGTTTGAGCCTTGACACAAATTTTCCTAGTTAATAATAGTGTATAATGTTGCTGTGCAAAATCCTACTAGTTTACAGTAGTTCAATTATATTTGTTTCCTTCAAATAAAAGGGATCATTCTACACTGGAGAGAGACAAAACTGTAGGGGTGTGCAACGGTCGGTTCGGTTCGGTTTTTACCAAAATTTGAACAACCGAACCGAACCGCCTATAATTCAAAACCGAACCGAACTGTTGCAAGTCGGTTCGGTGCGGTTCGGTTCGGTTCGGTTTGTTCGGTTCTAACTTCATCAAACTTCTTATCAAACAACAAACTGTGTTAAAGAAAAAAAATATCAACAAAATAGGAGATTATGAAGCATTAAACACTGATATAATGATATTGTTTTCAACCCATAATGATCTAGAAAATGTGTTTAGAGTTTGAGTCTTTGACTTTTTGGGGACAGGTCAGGTAGGGTTTGAGATCAGAATGGGTAGTATTGCACTATATTCGGTCGGTTCGGGTCGGTTTGGGTTGAAATGTTTTCAAACTGACCTGAACCACCCTACTCATAAAACCGATTTTTTCGGGTCGGTTCGGGTCGGTTCGGTCGGTTTTTTCGGCTTGGACTGAACCATGCACAACCCTACAAAACTGGATCAAATTTGTAATTTTTCATAGTCACAAGAAAGGGTTTTCTTTATTTGTATACGTTCTAAATCTTTCTTATTCATAGAGTTACTTTGATGTGAATATTTGCTTTTTTACCCACAAACTTTGAACTTTGCATTAAAACATATTTTCTAAATTAACGTCATTAATATTAATATCACAAAACCGCACCTTTCTGCCAAAAATAAAGAGCTTTTTCCCTAAATAAGAGTGTATAGAACACAACGTGAGAGTCTGTGAGGGTAAATTAATAAATATGAAGAGTTAGAGGATACATATGCCAATAGTATAGGTTTGAAGGCTATATCGCAAACGGAAATGCTTTTTGGCTCGCGGGGGCGAGCCAATCTCCGCGTTCGAGGCCAGAAAGGGGGCAGCGAGAGTGGGCCCCACAGGCGCTGTGTGAGGGCCCACTCGCTTGCCCCCCTGCCTCTCACGGGAAGTTGGCTCACGACGGCCCCCGGCGAGCCAAATAGCAAAACTCGCAAAAGACCCAAGTAAGGGGTTTGGCATATATGCTCTTAAAATATTCTGTGTTTGCAATTTTACCCTCTAAATCTTAGTATTACAAACCTATCCCCTAATTCTCTCACATTGAGTTTTTCTATTCCTTGTCACCTGACAATTTTAGTTTTTGAATGTAAAATACTGCAAGCCTATTGGAAATCTTAACCATTTCCTATTTAGAAATCAATATTGTTAAGTTGGAGGGGTAAAAAGAAATACTATTTGACAAAAGTAGACGTTGATTTTATAAATACCAAGATATGAAGGGAAAATTTGCAAATATGAAAGATTTGAGGCTTATATATGAAAAAACCCAAGAAAAACTGAAGAGCGACAACTACCAGCCTAACTTCCATGAAAAAGATCCCACTCCCTCTCTACATCCGATCCCTAATCAACCACCTAAAAACCTCCCCAAACCCTAAATCTACACTCTCAATCCACTCCAAACTCCTCAAGCTGGGCTCCCTCCACCCTCCACTACAATGCGGCCACCGCCAACCACCTCATCGCCGCCTACGCTCGACACCACCAAACTCCTCACGCACACCAACTGTTCGATGAAATACCCCAACCAAATGTCATCTCCTTCACCTCTCTGATGACCTCCTACAATGTAACCAATCGACCCGACATGGCTCTTCGCCTCTTCGGTCGCATGCCGGCCCTCGGCGTGCGGCCAAACAGCTTCACTGTCGCCACCGCCATCGCCGCTTGCTCACGAGTTGGTGATGTGCACAGTGGTGTCAATCTCCATGCCCTTGTTGAGACTGGAGGGTTGAGAGATGATGTTGTTGTTTCCACTGCACTTGTTGGGTTTTATGCGAAAGCCAATTATTTGGTTGAAGCCCGTAAAATGTTTGATGGAATGGAGTGTGGGAATGTGGTTTCGTGGGGTGCTATGATTTCGGGGTATGCACAGAGTGGTGATGGGCGGAGTGCGATTCTTTTGTTTTCGGAGTTTTTGGGGCGGGATTTGAGGGCAAATCATTTTATGTTATCAAGTGTGGTTAATGCGTGTGCGAGTATGGGGAGGTTGGGGTTGGGGAAGTCGATACATGGGAAGGTGGTTCGGTGTTGGCATGAAGGGAATGAGGTGATCGAGGGAGCTTTGATCGATATGTACACGAAATGTGGGTGTTTTGAATATGCAAGGAAAGTGTTTGATAGGATTGTGAATCCTTCGTTGGTAGTGTTCACGTCGATTATTGTGGCAGCTGCAAAGTACGGACTGGCGAAGCTCGCTCTCGATCTCTTTGATGAAATGGTTGAGAAGGGAGTGAAGCCTAATGAGGTCACTTTCTTGGGGGTCTTGCATGCTTGTAGCCACGGAGGGCTCGTTGATGTTGGACTGGGATACTTGGATTCCATGAATAGGCTTTATGGTGTTGTGCCTGGAGCAAAGCACTACACGTGTGTGGTCGATATGCTTGGTCGAGCAGGAAGGCTTGATCAAGCTTATGAGATGAGCAAAAATATAGAAGTTACGGGAGACGATGAGTTGATGTTGTGGAGCACATTGCTGTCTGCAAGCAGAATTCATAGCAGGTTAGATGTAGCTGCTGAGGCTGGGGAGAGGTTGAAAGAATTTAATACTGATGTTGCCGGTGCTTACATGGCGATGAAGAATGCGTATGTGTCGGTTGGAGAGTGGGAGGGAGCAATGCAGGTGAGATCAGAGATGAGGAGACGAGGGATAAGGAAAGAGCCCGGGTGCAGTTGGGTGGAGATAAAGGATGTGCCTTATGTGTTCCGTGCTGGGGACGTTGAGAAATGCTCAAGAGGGAGCGAGGTCATGGCCTTGTTGAGGGATTTGGAAGTGAAAATGGAGGGGAGGGGGTATGTTACAGGGAGCACGAAAAGATATTTGATCGAAGAGGGTAAGGAGTTGGATGTTACGATTGGTGTGCATAGTGAGATGTTGGCTATTGGGTTTGGATTGTGAGTTTTGGGGAGGGGGTTACAATAAGGGTGATGAAGAACTTGAGGATGTGTGGTGATTGCCATGAGAAGTTCAAGGTGATCAGTGACATAGCTGGGAGGGAGATTGTGGTGAGAGATCTGAATAGGTTCCATCAGTTCAGAGGTGGATCTTGCTTGTGTAGGGACTATTGGTGAGAGTTGGCTTCAAGTTAGCACAGGTACATACACCAGGCACTGCTTTTATCTTAACAGAAATGTATTTGGGATAATGTTTTTATAGAAACAGCAATTTTACTCCTTTATGTTCGTTTTTTTACTAGTCTTATGGAGCACCAAATTTTGTTTGTGTAGGGATGAACAGCTATATGATACAAGTTGTAACTTTTATGTATTTCAAAATCTAGAGGATATTCAAAAATTATTCTTGAATAAAATTAAATACACCACTAGCAGAAAGGATACATCTCATCATCTATTAGAATCAAACAGAATTTATAAACAACAAAAATAGACAAACTAGATTAGCTTAACTTTGATTCCAGGCTATTTGATGAGAACAAGAATTGGAAATCTTCCATATTAGCTTAGTTTTTAATTTTTGAAATTTGAATTTTAAATTTTGAATTGTTGTTTAATTTAGTGGTTAATAAGTGAGAGATTTGAGGGATTCTGTGTGAGATTTCAAATTTTGTAATTGCTCTATAAAAGCATGGTTGTAATCAGAATGAAAATTATTGAAGATGAAAATGAAAAGTATTTTGCTCAATTGAGGTGTGAAACCCTAGCAATTTCATTTTCGTTTCTTCTACAGCACAAAAAAAAAAACAAAAGAAAAGAAAACGAATCACTGTTCATCATCTTCTTCCTCCAGACAATCAAAACCCAACTCCACCTCCCTCTTCCCAGTTCGCCGCCCGAATTCCCAGCGCCGCAGACGCTGCTCGTCCGCTCCGTGCCCATTGCCGCCACAAAAACAGCCCCAGTCGACACGCGACACCGCTGAAAATTCCCTGGGCAACCGCACACAATGCAACTCCCATCCTGACACCACCTTAAAGCCCGACCCCTCCTGCCTTCGGCCCACTTGAACAACGCCAACAACGACCCCGCTCTCCTCCTCCACAACAACAGCGTTCAACCCCCGTTTCTCACCCATTCCTCATTCAAAAGGAAGGGCCCCAATCCTCCCCCGCAGCCATAGCTGCCCCACCACCATTCAAGTCAACCCGTTGCTATCAGGTAAAACCTATCACGCCGCCTCCGTTTTCAGATCGTCTACTAGATTATTACCCCCGCAAAAAACCCCCCTCCCATTTCTCTCATCCTTACTCTATCATAAAACGCCATCGCCACTGAATGTCGTTCGGCAGGAACTCCTCCTCCGATCAGCTGCCCTCAAACCGCTGGCCGGCTCTCGTGCGTCCACCCAAAGCGGGAGCCAAGCAAACGCGGCCAGAGGGAATCAAGATACCCCAGCGCCGGATCCCAGCGTCCCACGCAAGACTTAGAAGCCCCCTCGGCAGTCACACATAGCAGTTGATACAGCCCAGTGGGGTTCCTGGTTCGTTTTGAAAAGAAAAAAGTCAAAGGATGAGAACACAGGAGAGATCAGAATATAATGACGTGTGTGGACTTGTTGATTTGATGATCTTTGGGCTTCACTGTAGAAGCTAATGGATTTTGGATTTCTCTCAGCATTTTGGATAGTAAACTCTCAACTCAGTAATTTTCTGTTAATCTCATAATTATCAGTTAATTGCGTGCGTATTAACTCTCTAAACTATTATCATATATTCACTGCTTATATCATATCTGTGAGTTGAGAGAACTGAATTTGTGACTGTTGAAAAATTGATATTGATCTTAGAACTTGCAAAAAAATGATAATTAATTTTGCGAATACATTATTCGAGATTGGGCTTGTTTATGGTTATCATTGCAAATCTTGTTAAAATCCATCGGTCACCTTAACTGTTTTAAATTAATTTTCTACCGAATATCATGAATTTTAGCGAAATGATGCGTTGTTCGATTTAGATCACTGATTCCAATGGACCCCCTCCCCCGTTTTACATCATTTTGGTATCAGAGCATGGTTCTAGGGTAGGAATTTTTTTTTATTTTTTTTTTATTTTTTTTATTTTTATTTTTAGATTAGTTGAGTCTTTTATTTGATATTAAAAAAAAGCGCATTCATCCCATTTAGCTGTTTGTGCACACCATTCATCTCATCTCATTGTTAGTGCATGACCACTCGTACAGATCTACCTTAGGTGAGTCAAGTCAATCAGTTAGTGAGTCCAGCATGTCTTTTGAATTCCTTAAGAAATTCGATGAGGTAAAAAAACAAATGGGTGTCGTAGCCCAGAGCTTACAAATTTCCAGAATGAAACCAACGAACGGTTTGCTAGGCTTGAAGGAGCGGGTGTTGCAACTCCGTCGCCACAAAGTCAAGGCTATGGATACCCACCGCAAGGTCATGGGTACGTCGTTCATCGACCCCCACCTCAACCAGTGTCTGATCCACCAACCTTTGACGGTAAGCTCGGCCCACAAACTTTCTTGAATTGGCTGAAGAACATGGATCGATACTTTGACTGGTATGCCATGACGGAACCACAAAAAGTCAAGTTTGCGGCAATGAAACTCACCGGACCATCCTGCCAATATTGGTCCAAATTCGAAACATTAAGGTATATTAGTGGTGAGTTACCAATTTTAACTTGGCAAGAAATGGCTGACGAACTAAAAAAGGAATACCTTCCACCAGTTAAAATTAATAAGCCGTATATGACAGAATCAAAATCTATTCTTGAGAAAACCGTTAATCAGGCCGTAGATTTGATAGAAATTAACTCTGCAAAGGAATTCCAGTATAGTAAAATTAAAAATCCACGCACTTCCGTTCATTCTGAAACTACCTCTGTAATTGTGGAGTTCACTAAAGTTTCATGCAATGACAACACTCCGACTATTCCCCAAGCTACCCCTTTGATCACGGAGTCCACTGATGTTATCCCTGAAGTTGTTCTTGAAATCAAAACTCCAACTCTTTCTGAACCAACTCCAGTGATTGAAAACGCTGTTGATGTTCCCCACAGAGTCCTCCCGGACCAACATGATCCCCAACACGTTCCTGATATGGGTCCTAAAGCGATTCAATCGGATATCTGTATGGAAGTTGAATACCAAATTGAGCCTAGTGAAATAACTACCATATTAAATGTCAAACCCACATGCATTGTCCCGATAGTCACTCACACATACACTGATCCATTTTGGGAAAATATAGTGATTAAGGATACAAGTTGTGGCACGAGTGTTTTCATTTCCTTTTTCTCTCATGTCAAGTGCACCAAAACACTCATCTTTCACGCATGTGTTTGCATGTTCCTCACTATCACTGTTAGAACGAGAAATTTGTTTTGCATATTAACGAATGAACACCTAATTATTCCATTTGATAGAGGACGTTATGCATATTGAACACTTCGTTGAGTTTACATCTGTCATTGATCACATTGTTTGAGTCTGCATTTCATCATGAACAATTGAGTTGATTTACATCATTTTTATTTTGCATTGATCATATAATGGGGAATCAGTGATCTAACTTGAATAAATACATTGTTAACTGAAATGAATGATATGAAGTCAGGACATAATTTAAAACTGTTAATGCTGATATTTTAGATGGTTTGGACTTGTCCAAAACAGTTTCTTTATAGCTGTTTAAGATTTGACATGATATTTATGAGCTTTTCCAACTCTTGAAATAATTAATAGCAACATTTATATTATCGATTTGGTCATAGTTCTATTCTCAATATTGAGTGATTAAACAGTTCACAATGTTATTGACAGTCCACTGATATAAGCCTGACCCTAGCTATTATTTCTGAGAGTTGTTTCACTTTACCCCCACTTCTATATATATTCACCCATGCAGCAGTGAATTTTGATAATATTTTAGATGGTGAATTTACAATGCAATATAACTAATGATTTGAGATGCAGAAAAGTATTTGATGGCAGATTAAGATGCAGACAGACTATATTGAAGATTACAAACTTCTGCAGCTAGAAAGAACATTTCTGATGAGAACAAGAATTGGAAATCTTCCATATTAGCTTAGTTTTTAATTTTTGAAATTTGAATTTTAAATTTTGAATTGTTGTTTAATTTAGTGGTTAATAAGTGAGAGATTTGAGGGATTCTGTGTGAGATTTCAAATTTTGTAATTGCTCTATAAAAGCATGGTTGTAATCAGAATAAAAATTATTGAAGATGAAAATAAAAAGTATTTTGCTCAATTGAGGTGTGAAACCCTAGCAATTTTATTTTCGTTTCTTCTACAGCACAAAAAAAAAACAAAAGAAAAGAAAACGAATCACTGTTCATCGTCTTCTTCCTCCAGACAATCAAAACCCAACTCCACCTCCCTCTTCCCAGTTCGCCGCCCGAATTCCCCAGCCCACAAAAAGAAAAAGAAACCAGAAAAAGAAAGAACAAAAAGAAAAAAATTTCTCTTCCTTCCTCTATATTGATTCAAACCACGTGTGATGCCTTTGCATTTCTTCTAGGAATGATGTCAACGGAGCTGAAAACGGCATTATTGTTATCAAAGGATTGTGCTAGTTCAGGATATGGCTTATCATGGGCTGTTTGTTGCTTGTGTATTTTTTAGAAGTCAGTGTGCATATAATCAAGAAGCACTGCAAAGTTCAACTAGATTCTTCTTTCTATAAAATTCTATCTGTTTTAGTTCTGCATGAACAAATCTCTGTATTTAGTGTTTACGTTCTGAATTCATTGCCGCATACCAGCAAACTTCCTATTTCTCCTTTCTCAAATCTCTCTTACATCCTGCAGTGCACCACACAAGTCTGAATTCACATTATCGGGCCGTCAAAAACTTAAATTTACAGGAATTAACCTCAAGGTTTGTAAATCCTTGTCTCTTTTGCATGCCACTACCTGGAATAGACAAGAAAAAAGCTTCTTCCGACTAGTACGCATAGGTGTGCAGATGGGGAGATTAGTATTAGAGGAGTATGGGAAGCACATTTCAATCTCTTCCCATTTGAAGCATCAGCATGGAGTTTACCTGGTCAGGCTCAGGTCCGTTCTCAACGATTTCAGCTTTAGACGGCTTGCATGAGATGAAGAAATCCAAATGATAAATGATGGATTTTTATGATGATCCAAAGTCAAGTATTTGAATATTAACTTTTGATTATATATTTGCATATGATCTCGGTGATTTCACCAGATCTTATATCCTACCTAACATGTTATCTTGCATTATCGCGGCCCTCTGTTTTGAACTTATAACATTTCCCTAGTCTTCTGAGTTCCTTACTTTGTAAGTTATAGTGATAAATGAAAATAAAAGGATAAATACACAAATTTTACAAAAAGCACAAGATAGTCTTCATATTTGTCTTGTTTCTACTTGTGCCTTCTCCTACTTGATTTCGTAGGCTTCCACTTCAGCCACTACTATTCATAAAATTAAGCCTGGCACTTTTTTTGCTTTTCATATTCTCATCTGAATTTTAATGGGTTTAACACTTCTTTGTCTGGGAAATACAAGATGTTCTACTCAAATAAAAATGGTCTGGACACAGGATCCACAACCGTAAGAAAAGAGGAGAAAAGAGAGACAAGGTGAAAAAAGAGACAAAAAATACATAGAAAAGGAAATAAATAAGTTAGATAATTTAATTGAGTTAGAGGGACAAGTTGAGGAAAAAAATACATAAAATTTCATCTAATATAGACTATAGTTAGTCAAACAACCACTTGTATTGAGGAAGTGTCCACACTAAATTAATAATTTGATAATCAAAATGTGTTGTGAATCGCATGATTCATGTATGAGGGTTTTAGAATCATGGTCTTGGATATTTCTCCAGCAAGTTTGCATCTGCAACATCTGTACACAATTAATTTTGCATACATGAAAATGAGACTTTGACATATATTCAACAAGTATGGGGCATTTAAGTCATGTTATGTATTTAATGTGGAAATGCCTTTCTCTCCTCTTTTGATATTATAGCTTATTAAAGATGTACACCGATATTACAAAGGCTTCATCTATCTTGTTGACTTTAATTTTAGGGATGATTATTTCAATTATAGGGTGACACCTACTTGTAGTTGATACGATGATTCATTTTAAACTGATCCGGTCTAATTTTTCTTTCAGTTTCGTATCACAGAAGCGATACAAAGATTACCAAGAAATTACCAAGAAAATAATATAAATTACAAAAGCATGTAGGTTGTACCTATGGAAGAAATAGGATTGGATTCTGAACCTCAAGATTTAAGCATTCTCCAGTTGTCATCAAACCAGCAAGACCATCCATCCGGCAATGCATGCCTGAGGGCCAAAGTGGACCGAGACTCCAAGCAGTGACATGCCCACAATAAGCAGGCCACATAGACTAATTACAGAGAGGTAAGTCTTTTTTTTCTCCTCAAATTTGATTCTATGTTAAGTCTCTTTTTCTCCTCAAATTTGATTCTATGATCTTGTTGATGGTCATTTTAAGATTTATAGTCTTTTAAAGTCGATAATTCAGTGAATCTGACATACAGATGCTGCCTACCATAATTTTCCAGGTCATATTTGTCTGATTTTTATGTCCCAATTTACGTTCGCAATGATTTAGTGACTCGTCCTCTCATCTCCTAAAAATTGCAAGTATGCGTATAGACAACAACTCACTTGTCTTTTTCCCTTTTTATTGTCTTAGGTAATTACAGAGGATTTCATCTCATTTACCAAGATATTTAGAGGTAAGAATGCTATCTTATTGTATAGTACATTATTATTTAAATTTTTTCCTATATCAGTTTAATATCATTTAGAGAGTAATCATCATATTCCTGAATGCAATTATTATTGTTAATTGTTATCATATACCACATTAAAAGGCCATCTGCTTTATTAAGGAGGTCAGATAACGTACATTGCTAGCTCCTTTTTTTAATTTTAATTTTGTTCCCTAACTTAGGTCAGATTCATGTAGCCAGTTCATCTTATCTTCCACCTTTTTCTGAGTTAATCCATCCATATAGTATGGAGGATGGGTCAATACCATCACTTGTGTATTGAGCTAAATAAGTTCATAGTGAGCACTCTTACTGT